TTACAGAAACAAAAAATAATGTTGAAAAATTTTAGAAAGGTGAAAAATAAATACAAATTTATACTAAAATTAAAATTAAAATATGCTCAGTTTACAGAAATTAAAAATGCATTTAAATCCAATATATATATATATATATATATATATATATATATTATTTGAGTAAAAGGCAGTGAGTTGAAATTATAGTAACAGATTTACAATGTTAAAAAGAATCGGGTTTATGTTATATTATTTAAAAAAATGTTTTGGTACAAAATAAATTTAAAGAAAAAACTTATTAAAAAAAGTTTATGTGATAATTACTTCCCTACGCATTTACTTTCCAATTATAGAGAATTTCCGCACCGGCTCGGTTGCCGGAATATGTAGGCTTTGCTTTACAATTTTATCCAATTAATCTGGTACATTATTTAAATTTATTAATATTTTGAATCATAATTTTTATTTAAATAAAACACTGTTTGGTACATTAAAAGAGCCGATAAAGGAATTGAAAAGAAAAAGAAAATGATATAGATTTGTTTAAAACACTGTTTGCCACAACTTTTACTCCTTGTACATAAATAGTTTATATATATTTGTTTAAATCTTGTAGTTTTTCAATTATGTTTAAATATTATTTGTAGCTTTGTTATGTGACTTGTTATATGTTTGAACTTACAAGTTAGCTTGGAACTTATGTGTGTTTTTTACTTGTTTGAAACTCATATTTAGAACTTGTTTTATTTGCTTAAAACTCATGAATGACATTATAAAATTATGTTAAAATGTGTTTGTAATTTTTGTGGAGTTTATTTTAAGGTATGATGTGATTTTTTTTTTTTTTGAAATTTATAGATATGAAATATGTATAACAAATATTTTTTTAATTTTTTTTAATAGAAACCGGGTCATGCGGTTTAATAGGTGACCCACCGGTCTAACCAGTGATCCATTGACCCAGTACTCTCACCGGTTTTTAAAACACTGATTTTAACCTATATAATTTTGTAATAAAATAAAACACAATTAAAACTGGTTAATTTTTAAATCAAATTATATTTGATTCCTCCTCCTATGATCCAATGTTCTCAGTTCTGTGTCAGTTTGTACTTTTGCAGTATAAATGTACAACATTCCTTCGTATTCGCAGACTCACAAACGCTGGAAGCTTCCTACATTGGGATTCTCAAGTATTGGATATCTCATGGAGCTACATTATCAAAATTTAGGTGTCAACAAATCTTAATTCCTAAATGGTCTATATTAAAATATTATAAATAAAATTATTATATATTATTATAATTATAATTTTTTATTATTTTTTATTATTATTATCATTATAAATGTTATCATCATTGTTGTATCATCACTTATATTATATGATACACATGTAAATTAAAATAAATAATTTATATTAAAATATTATAAATAAAATTATTATATATTATTATTATTGTTATTATTTTTATTATTATTTTCATTATTATTGTTATTGTAATCATCATCATTATATCATCACTTATGTTTTATAGATACGAGTATAATATTAATATAAGGTATAAGATGAATGATTTTTTTTATTTTTAAATTTAGAGTATGAACATGTTAATATACATAGAAATATGAGTTAATTGTATAAAAAAATGTTTACAAATTATATTAAATTCTTTAATATGATTAAAAAAGTGTAAATGTTTAAAATAGAAATTATAACAATTAAGTATGACTGTGAGGCAATTTAATTATTTCAATCTCATATTTTTTTTCTATCATCAACGAAAGAATTGATTTTAACTCCAATTCACTAATACAAAGAGTAGATACAATATAAGAACTATAAAATTGATTACATAACCAATTTTATGCTTAGTGGTGCGAATATTGAAAATTTTATAAATACTTCCTAAATCAATTTTAGAAAAAGATGATTTAGTAAATATATTCAAAATTGACTTTAAACATACTTAATTTTAAAAATATGTGTTAGAGTCATTTTGTAAGGAATGTATTGGATTGAAATTTTGAAAGATTTTAAATGATTTTTTTTATATAAAAAAAGTTTGTAATATTCAATCAAGACTTTTGAATAACATAAAAAAATTTAATAGTATTCAATCAAAAATTTTAAGATTTTTTAAAGAGTGCATTGAAATCCAATGACATTCAATTAAGAATTTTAAAACTTTTTAAAGAGTGTAATAAAATTCGATGATATTCAATTGAGATTTTTTTTTAACTTATAAAAAAATCTTCTAGTATTCAAAAGTCTACATATTTTAGTAGATTTTTTTGTAGAATAGATTTTGTGGAATTTTTTTAGTGAAAAATATAAATACTAGACTCTTTTAATAATTTCACTCAAACTCATGAGACTTTTCTCTCTCTATTTTATTCCTTCTATTGTATTTTGACTTTTCTTTCTTCTCAAAATATATTTCTCTCTCTAAAAACTACATGAGCAATCGTACAATATTTTAAACATCTTTTTCATTCAAGTCATCACTCTTTTATTTTTTTTCTTTCTATTTGTAATAATATTTTTTTATCAACAATAATATTTTCAATAATTTGTTCATTACTTAGATCCATTAAGAAAAAAATATTCATTAAAATCTTAAAAATCATTACATTTCTTCAAAAAAAAATTTAAAATCTATTAAAATTCACGAGATTTTTTACATTAAAACAATCCATCACAATGCTAATCTATTACACCCTCCTAAATCGATGGTACGACAATTGATATAAAAGAAGCACTAGAATTAATACCCATCATGAGGCTTCCATTTTATGTGGATACCGTTTTCGTGCTCTTCTTCGGCGACTCTCGCCCTACCCTTCGTTTTCTTGCCAAACTGTCCCAACGGTGCAGTTCGATTAGAGCCGCAACCCTAACCCAAAACCCCAATAGCAGCAAAACAATTCCAACTCTAACATGTCAAAAAATTCAATCCATTTTATTCGATATAAATTGGATTTTTAAAAATTCAATCCATGTCTACTCCTATAATACATGTTTTGATATTAATTATTAGTTTTTTTTAGGTAGAAAATATATTTTTTAAAAAGAGAAATTGTGTTATTTGGATGAGAGCTTGTATGGAGATAGCTAAAATGTAACCAAATTGATCAAATATTAATATTATTCTAATCTCTTTTTTTTTTTTTATATATATATAGAATATTATTCTAATCTTAAAATTAAACTAATAGCCTTCTAAATTTAAATGATAAGAACAGCATGTTTACCTTTATCTATAAAAAAAATATCCAAAAATTTGAAAGAATAAAAATCTTAAGAATAAATTATCTATTTTTAAATTTTAAATAGGTTTAAATATATTTTTACTTTTTAGTCTTCATAAAATAAGTGAATTTTGATTTTTATTCTTACAAAAAAAAATTCTTTATTTTTCACCTTGACAAAATTTGTAAACATTATTTTTTTTCATTTTATAAAATGTGTAAATTTTGATTTTATTTCCTGTAAAACATATTCCTTTTAATTTTCACCTTTAAAAATTAAAATTACTATTTTTGACCTTTAATAATGATTTTATGATAGATAAATAATAATTATTTTAATATTTTATAAAAAAATTTAGAAATATCACACTCTAACACGATATTATTGATAGATATATGTAACACCTTATACGATCACTTAACCTTTTGGTAAACACATAAATAATTAAAAATAATTATATATTAACGGACACTAAAAAATAATAATTTTAAACTTTATAAGGGTGAAAAAAAATGAAACTTTTTTTTACAAAGATCAAAATCAAAATGTGTTCACTTTGCGAGGTCTAAAATCATATTTAATCTTTATAAGTATTTTGGCATATATTTTGAAATCATTTACCCTTTATTTGTTCTTGCAATTTTATGATTAGAGGAATAAAGAAATGATTAACCTAATGCTTAACTATGTTTTTTATCCTAATATAATGAGCAAGTTTTTATTTTAGCCCCTTTAAAAGATTTTTTATTTTATTTTTCATCCTCTTAAAATTTATAAAATTTGTTTTTGATTCTTATACAATGAAAAAAATTGCTTTTGATTCCTATTATTTTTATTTTTATTTTCATATATCTCTCTAAAATTTAAAGTCATTATTTTTGTCATTATTAATCATTTTAGGGTATATAAATAATATTTATTTTAAGAGTCTATACTTTTTTTTAGAGGAATTAAACATTGGCAAAGTATTACAAATAATTGCTAGTATCATTATGAATGATCACTTGATTGTCTAATAAACAAATAAGTAGTTCACAAAGATTACATAATAATAAGGATGAAAAATATAATTTTTAAATTTTAGAGAGATAAAAAATAAAGAATTTTTTTTATAAAGATCAAAATCAAAACTTACTTAATTTATAAATAAAAATATATTTAAGTCTGACCATAATTAATGGCATATGAATAAACTAATCAATTCATACAACATCTCACACTAATAGCACGAGATAGTTACATAAATAACTAAAAATATTCTGATGAGAATACATTCGGAATTGGTTTCTGCATTAGAGACAGCTTGGATTCCTTTGTGGGTGCACGCACTCTCAGGATCCCTGGTCTTCTTCCTGCCAGTATTAGAGATGCTATTGCTCTCATGCAAGCCATTATTTTGGCTTCGGAAAATCAATATACACCCATCCTCTTCGAGTCTAGTAGCAGCAGAATTGAAAGTTTTTTCCTTCATCCGAACCTGAAGGATAGAACTGAATTTAGTAACATTATGAACCATTGTAGAAATAAGATTAATTCTTGCGCCAACTTTAATGTAAGTTTCACCCATAGATCAGCTAATTTGGTGGCTGCCAATCTTGCAAAGGCCTCCAAATGTTATGCTAATCTTAAGGATTTTGCATACATCCCAAATTGTATCTTCTCTCTTATTGTTAATGAATTGAGCTAAGGCTCAGCTCTTCAAAAAAAAAAAAAAAAACTAAAAATATTAACTCAATTGGTGTATATGTAGATCGTGTAAATTTCTTTGTATCAATTTCAATAATTTTTATGGGCTAAAAAAATAGTTACATAAATAGATACCAAAAGTGGATATGTTTCATATAAAAAAGTCTAATTTAAGTAGTAATGTTCATCTGCTATCTGCATGGCAGGATATTGATTCATTAATTTGTCATTCGTAAACATAGATTTACAATAGAAATTGCTATACCAACTTAATAGTCACAATGACAAAATACAACAGTTGGCACATGTTGGACCTTGTAATGATCCTCTCCCCCTTTTTCAAGTTTAGTTCTGAATGCTACAAACGTTGACCTGATCTCCAAATCCTGAAGAGTGGTGACAAATCTGAGCCCATCTGGAACCCTCTCAAGCTTGGTGCAATGTTCAATCTCAAGTTTGCTAAGACTAGGCATGGCTCCTTTATCCAACTTCCACTCTTCAAGATTTGGCAAGTCGCAGATATGCAAAGACTTGAGGTGAGGGAAGCCTTTGCTGGAACAAACTAGCCTCTTGCCCATGAATGAATCAAGTTTTAGTTCAAGCAACCTTAAATTGGGAAGCTTCTCTAATGTTGGCATTGGATCTACAACAAGTCCAGAACCCTTTAACTTTAGCTTCATAAGCTTGGAAAAAAATTGTTGGGGCTCTGGAAAATTCTTTATAGGTCCTTCCATGTGTAGCTTGTAGAGATTAGGACACCCTAATGCAACATCGGTAATTGATATATCCTCAGAACTAACAAAAAACAATGACTCTAGGTGGCTAAATGTCACATTACGGTACCTGAAGATATCTCCAAATTTAGGATCTTCTATCACCAATTTTCTTAAATTGGTCAATTTCATGAGATCTCTTACACCACACTTCTCAGCAGGGAAGTTAACCAAGGTCTGCAAGTTTTTCAGGTTGTCCAGTTGCCATCTTTCAATGCTATCACCACAAGACTCTGGTAAATATAAATGTCTCATTTTCTGCATGTTCCCTATGACATTTGGTATTAGTACAGTTGAATTTCCTGTTAGAAGATCAAGGGTCATCAAGTACTTCAAATTTCCTATTGATAGGGGCAACTCGTCAATTTTTGTATTTCTTAGACTGAGAAACCTTAAGTGGATCAAGAATCCAATTTCTTTTGGTAACTTCCCTCCTGGACCTTGTATTCCTTCCAAGTCCAAGACTCTAAGTAACCTGCATTTGTTGAAAAATGACTTCATCACCCCCCATTCACTTATCCTAGTTGTCTTTTCATGGTAGCAAAGGAGAGATCTTAGATGGTAGAGGCTTTTCAAGTTTGAAGGGAAGAACCTACCAACATCCTGATCAAGATACAAGGCAATCCTGCGAACTTTTCTCATTGTTCTAGCTCTTGATGGCCCTCTAGTTTCTTCTTCATTCCTGGAATTAATCACCACAAGAAAGTTTTCTTGACATGCCTTAGAAACACATAGGTCCCTCATGAGGTTGTGCATTTGGCAAGTACTTATTCTCCCCGTTGAACTCTTTTCAACAACCTGAATCATGCATCTCTCCACTAGCTCAGTCAAGTAACGTTGTCCAACATCCTCAAGAACTTCCTCACCTTCTCCATTGTGTTCCAATGATACAATACCCTCTGCCACCCACATTCTTACGATTTTCTTTGTTGGTATCTCTAAATTTTCTGGGAAATGTGCTAAGTGTAGGAAGCATGGCTTCAACTGGTATGGCAATTCGTAGTAGCTTAAAGCCAACACCTCGGATACTCCTAAGTGTTGTTCTTGGCCTTTTGCTCTCCTCAAATATGAATTGATGTTCTGACGCACAGTGTTCCATTCATAGAGTGTAGGCTTTGATGCTAAAAGTCCTGCAAGCACAATGATGGCCAATGGTAAACCTCCACATCTTCCAACCATTTCCCTTCCCAATTTCTCCTTTTCTCTGTAGTCTGTGCAAAACAAACAGAAAATTGTTACTTGAAATTGAATAATTCCAACTTGGAAGAATTGTCAAACCTCTTCCATGATCTGTTAGAGAGAGTGGTTTCATTTCTTTGTTTAATTCTATATTATGTTCTTTGGTACATAACCATTCAAAGGCCACAAAAATAATTTCAATGGACTAGGGCAAGTACCATAGTCAAGCATGTTTGTTTGTAAACATGTAAAGTATGTGACATGGTTGAACTTTCAGTGAGAAGAAAGTAGCATATAACTTGATAGTGGAAAATGAAGGACAATAAAAGCCAAGGCACAAATAGAAAACAATTGAAACCCTGTAGTTTATGAGTGAAGTTAGCCATATTATAAATGTGGTTATGACTTGTGATCATATTTGGTTTCACGAATTTCAAGTTATGATTACCCTCTTTCGGCCATATGAAGAGAAAATTTATGGAGGTAATAAGATAACTATTTTTTGTTAAAAGATTGTATTAAAAACAAGAATAAGAATCTCTGAAACTCATTTCTTGTATCTTTTGTTTGCTCACTCCTATGAACCAACACTACTGGTAAAATTAAACTTGTGTTTTATTCATCCAGAACCCTTTTCCCCAATCAATTACTAAAAGAAGATCACGTTTAAGCTTTAGAAGATTGAAACTAGCAAGTTAATCAACATGGTAACTGCATAGGAAATTATGTTGATAGTGCATTTTAGAAAGACGATAACATATGATAAATCTATATACCTGGATCAACAACTTTTGGAAATGCCTTCTTTTGGAACAACTCCCAGCTGTCATCTTCATTCAAACATTTTGGTTTGTGAAGATAACAACCAGGATCCATCTGCAATGGAACATCATTGTTTCTAGTAGTTAGCAATATTTTGCTACCAGCTACTGACACTGATCTTCCATGAGGAAACGCAGGCTTCAGTTTGTGCCACGTGTCTGTCCTCCAAATATCATCAAGGACCACTAAGCACCTCTTCTCCACTTGAACTTTGTAAAGCATCTTTGCAACCTCCTCATCTCTCATATTCCCAATTTCCTCTCTTTCCTCATTGGAAGGAGAGATCAGCTTAAACAAAATCCCTTCCCACACATCCCTTGCTTGGCAATGCTGTGATATGTAAGCCCAAGCCAAGCTCTCAAAATTGTTCCTCACATTAGGACTATGGTACACCTTCTTTGCCAATGTTGTTTTCCCTAACCCCCCCATTCCACAAATGGCTACTACTTTGTCGGGGTTCACCATACGTGACTCCAAAATCTTCACATCATCTTCAACACCAATTATGTCCTCTTCAATGACATGTGAGTAAGACCTCCTCAAAGCTCCCTGCCTCCCATGCATAGAATTTGAGGCTTCTTCTATCTCAGCTCTTATGCCGTAAGTTTCAAGGCTGCTTGTAAGGCTAGAAATCCTAGCTTTGACATTATCAACATGAGACCCCACCTTGTGGATCTCTATTAACCGGTTGATGATTAAAGCATACCTTTTGATGAGGCTTAACACACCTGAAAAATTTCTTCTTGAGGCTCCTCTGAGGGCATAAGATTCAATCACATCTTCAGAATCATAAGCAGCTTCTCTGATTTCTGAAATCCAATTCCTGAGCCTTTCATTTTCATCTTGCCTCCTATCTGCATCTTGCAAGTAAGACCTCATCCTCCACAATTCAGTTTGCAGCTGCAACACTTTGTCCTGCACCCCATATAAGTACACGGATTCTTGAATCAGCAAATCACCAAGACTTTGCACAATGAAGTTCACTATAGCCTGAGACATCTTACAAGGTTGTTCTTCTTTCCCTCAAACAAAAAGCCTTTTAATCCTTTTGCCACAACACAAAGACTCAATTCTCAAACATATAAACTGCTACTGCTTTCTCTTGAACAAAGGGAAGAGAATAATCAAAGCAGCAACAAGCGGGTTGACTTTGGCAGTGACTTGTAGAAATGGCAGACCAAACCATTTTCCTAGAAAATAAGGATCCAACTCTGGCAACCATTTTTTCCCTTCCCAATTCTATCCATGTGAACTTTATAGTTTTATATTGGAGCCATTATGTTGCCGAATTTAGAGTGAACAAGTTGGTTGCAGCTTCCAGGAAATAAGTTGGAACGCAATCAACTAAAATCTGAATGAGCTAAGAAAACTGTATTCTGAGTCACAAGTCAAAAAACCACTAGTTTTTGGGCTGCTATAGAAAAGTATGACCGACAACTAGAGCATAGTGTAGCAATTTGTCAATTGTCAACAAAAGTAAATATGAAAGCAAAAGAGTGACATGGGTCCGATCATTGAACATGTGGAACCGTGAGACACTTTGATGCATAAGTTGACAACTAGACAAATGACTACCCGGGCACTTGAACATATATTTTAAGAAAAGTTTAATATTGTTTTACATTTAATAGTTTAATTAGTTACTGATGACAAATCATGAACATATTAAAATATTAAATGATTATTTTCTCATTAACATTTTAAATTACTTACTTAACCTTCTGTTTAAAGAAGTCAAATTAAAATTGATAAAACTGACAAATCAAGTACCAACAAATTTAGAAAATATTCTTTGCAATTTAGTTTCAAGTGATTGGTATATATATACCACTACAATACTTTTATCAGATAATTTGAGTAACTTATAAGCTATTTTGAAAGGTGTGATCTAGACTAATTTGAAGTGGATTCACATATTGTAAACTAATTTTAAGGGGGGAAAAAAGTCTTAAGAAGTGGATTATAGAGCCTAACTAGCTCATTAAAGCAACAGCAGGATATGCTGGACGATCCTTTGATGTTGAGTACCTTGTGGAGACATCTCAGAGTCTAACAAATCTTGATTTATTTATTTTTTTTCGTTATATGAACTAATCGTAAGCTATTTTTTTTTTTTTTATAATTATTTGAATTATTTTTTTCAATATTTTTTTATTTAAATTGAATGCTTAATTAATTTTTTTATTAAAATAAATAATATCAAATAATTTAAATAAATAAAGGTATAAATGACGATTAAAAAATCATAACACATTTAAGGAACAATCTCGCTACAATGTTCGAAAATTATAATACATTCATAAAATAATAACAAAAGCCCTAAGGACCTAAGTTTTCATTTTAATCGTTAGCAAAGTGATTGTTTTCATGATGAGGTGGCCATGTATGTTGGTGCGTGTAACATCTTCTTTCCACCGTGAAAAAAATAATTAATATTAGTATTGTTAGTTATTTTCGTTACTATTAATATTATTGGTAAAACAAAATTTTGAAAAAAGTTTCTACTAGTTTGATCTTGGGGAAAATAAAATTGAATTAAATATAGCGATTTTTATTTTAGATATATATGTACATAGTAAAAAAATCATAATAAATATTTTTTTTTTGGTGACACAAGTTAAGTTTCAGTGTTAAAATTATTATTTTATTGAAGCTTAAAAATTTAATGTGTCTTCAAAATATTTACATGAATTTTTGAATTTGTGTAATTAAATTTTAAAGATTTAGAGTAATTTTTTTCTTAACTTTGAAACTACGAATGCATTTGACCTATAATTTGTTAAACCCAAGCATTCTAATAGGCCTATTCAATTTCTCTTCTATTTTTAGGTTGAATTTTTTTCTAAATGCAAAGTATGTACTTTTCATTTTGCTTAGATAATTCTTATTGACATAACTTTCTACAACTAAGTGTTTGTTTGTTTTATTGTTAAATTTTTGCAAATTTACATTAACGAAAAATAGAAAAAGTTACTTTGTATTTTGATGTTTTGAAAAAAAAATATTTTTACATTTTCGTTAAAAAAAATGGATTTCCAAACATACCGTAAGAGGAAGTTATTATCCACACAAAAACTAGAGTCTTTTCTTAATTTGCTGTCTAATTGGGCTCAACTATGATAACTTAACACAACAATTAAAGCCCAGTCAACCAAGTATGACAAGAAGGCAGCTATGAGTTAATCCGCTAGGCCCAACATTAAAGAGGTACAATTTCATTAAAATATTCTGTACATAAAAATTAGAAAAACATTTTGAAATGAGAGTATTTTTGAGAATTTTTTTTTAAAGAAAATGTCCAAGAATTCTTTTAACGAAATTATTTTTAAGAATTTTACTAATTTTTTTCTCTCTTTTAATTTATTTATTTTAACTAAACTTTAATATTTTTAAGATTAAATTATCAATAATTAAAATTAAAATTATATCACAATATAAATCATTTATCCCAAATGTAAAATACAATGTTAAAAATATTTATTTATAATAAATTTTAATTATAGAAATATAATTTATATACTCAAAATATTTATTAATTATAAAATTTATTCATATAAGATAAGCACTTTTCATACATATGCCTAATATCCCAAATTTTTTAAAATCATTAATAAATAATAATATATTTAAAAAATTGATTAAATGTGTATTTATTAAATTAAGGAGGGTTTTTGTGAAAATAGTTATATTATATGTTATTTTAGGTTATGTTTTTTTTATTTAATAAAAAATATATGAGATGTTTGACTTTAGGTTAGCTCTTTAACCAAAAATCATGGTTGGGTTAGAAGTTATATCTTTAAAATGGGTTACACATTTCTTATTCATTATACGCTTCTCAACCTTTTTATTCTAAACGTTAGAAATTCATGAAGAGAATACTAAGGTTGTAGTAAATAATTACCCCAAAAATCCTTTATCATCGTTAAACATTTATCGAGGTAAGGAGGAATGAGTTGTTTGGCTCATAGGTGTAGAAAATTATTAGGTAGCGAATATTAACCTTAATATATTGACCTTAATCCCATTGTTTTACTTCTTTAGTGCTCTAAAGGAGACTTTGAGAGTCTCCTTGATTCTCACGATCTAGGACATAATTGTTTGTTTGGATTGAATTTTCATTCTAGTTGATGTAATTGTACTCTCTATTACATAATTGATCTAGTATGAGATGGAATTGTGATTCCTTGGGGGGACCCTTAGGTTATTATGAGAACCCAATTTTTTTATAGAACAGAAGTGAAGATTGAATAATATAATTAATGGTTATGTGATTGATTTTCTAAATAAGTAATTAAACATATAAAGTACTAGTTTTAAGATTTAATTCAATAATTGGCCAATTGGAATGAATTAGAAGTGAGAAAGCCCAACTTGGGCAATTGTTGCAATTTCTACAAATGACATGGAATTATCATTGCACCAAGTGTGAGGACATGGAGTTGGGTACCATAACCCTTGGGAGTAAAGGATACTCTTTGTCTCAACAACAACATGTGCGAGAGTCCAAGAGAGCATGCATTGCTTAGCCACCTGGCATGGTGTTGGCCAAATTGTTTACGAGAGCTCCAAGAGCTCTTTGTGGCTATGATGTCAAGCATAGGTATGACCATGCCAGGTGAGAGACCTCTAGAGAGCAAAGGCTTCTCTCTATGAGGAGGGAATCAGGCACGAGGTGGGCCTCATGCCCTCATCAAGCATGAACCTTATGATTTGTGAGTATTAAGTAATTGTTGTGAAACAGACTGAATTAACCAATGTTAGTGATTTTGAGGTGGCCTCATGATAACTACGATTAAGGAAATTATATAAGGTATTAGAATGTTGTGGAATTAGTTAAGTAATTGATTAAATTGGTTAGTTTGATTTTGATTTTGTAGTGGCTATGCTCAAGGTATTGATATATGATGGTGTGGATATTGAAATGATTGATATATTGTAACTCTTGTGATACTAAGGTGTTACAAAGTCTAAGCTAGTAGCTTAGTCATGTGAAAATTTTAGGCAACCAGAATAAATCGAAATTATGGTATATCGTTAAAGTGAACATGTGATATTGTATGTTTTGGATTGAGTCTTGTTGAGAGACATGCATCATAAACATAAAAGTATTTTTTGATAGGGTATTGATGTGGAATACGTTATTAGGGAAGGTCCCCTTTGTGATCTTGGGGACAATAGGGTTTGAGAGCCTTAATCTCACTTATTATGTGCATGAGGTGAAACTCATTGTAGCACCATTGTACTAATGTGCTTTAGTATATATTCCCCCTAGTGAAAGTGTTGGGTGTTAGCCAATGTCACCAACATATACTCCTAGGCTACTTTATACACACACACATGTTTCTATTGTTAATCCCAATTATCTAATGTTTATTGTGAATGATATTTACATATGAATATGTTGTCTGTTTATGTCCTGTTTGTGGCTACTAAGTCTTATCTTATACCAAGAGTATTAGTGAGATATATCTCACTCCCTTGTATTATAATTCCTTATTTTTGTTTGGGTGAGCACCATTTGTAGGTGAAGATCATATATAGGTTAGTATTGTTAATTAATGAGGCATAGGATTTGTGATGTCTTGTTGGGTTGTGTGAAACTCTACCCCTTATGCATAAATTCAATAGTATCATAGATATGAAAAATACTTCATTAACTAACAAAAAACTAAGGGAAAGGGTATCACATTACAACTCTTCAAATGACAAAACTAAAAACAATTACTTAGGTCACTAATTAAAATTGAAATAACTAAGAGAAACTAAATTTTTAATGTAATGATAAACGAAAGACAATTCCTAACTAAACTCTAATATCACATTCTATTATAAAAATCCTAATATATAGCTTAAACTTCTTCATAATTAAATTTACTTGTTCAAATACAAGAAGAAAAAAAAGTGAAATAAGAAACGTCTTACTTTTACTATCAATATAGAAAATGGTCAAGTAACCATGCACAAACATAACAATAATATACCATTGAAATAATAACAATTATCACAATTAAACGTGATTATTCTAGGCATTAAAAAATAAAGTGTATTTATACAATTTTAGATAATTTCAAGAATTTTAGTACAATCTACATTAGGGTTTATAGATTATAGATTAGGATTTTTTTTTTGTTCGTCCTCGCTACGAGGGAGACACTTCAAATAATGGGATAGCTGGTCTCAAGATTTAACATAACTGTATAAACAAGGCAGAATTTAAACTCCTGACCTTGCTTAAACGTGGATCAACCCCTACCGCTGAATCACACCCTTAAGATTAGATAATATTTATTTTATATATATAGGTAGGTGAAAAGATATACATAATCAAGACTGTTTTATTTTATTAAATAAATGGAGGCGAGAAAGGCCAAAACTAAAATTTACCAAGTACTATACATAATACAACTAAACAGGCCGCATCACGTGTACAAGTATCATTGGACGATGTTTGCTTGTTGTAATTAAGCTAGATTAGCAGAATGCAAAGCAAACTAATCCATAGTCAATAATCTACTTTTCAGCACCGAACACCATCTAGTCTTAAAGACCAAGCCAGAGCTGAAGCCTCGGTTCTACCACCACCGCCTCAACCCTCTCTTCTGCACGGTTCAAAGACAGAGATTGCAGCAATGTACGTAGATCACGCGTTCTCGATTTCGGACGAGGATATCATGATGGAAACCTCGTACACCGTCAACAACAAACCCCCCATCAAGGAGATCGCCCTCGCCGTTTCCCTCCTCGTCTGTGGCTTCCTCGGCATCATCATCGGTTCCCTCATGGCCTACAACCGTGTCGGCGGCGACACTGCTCACGGTAATAACAATCATCCAATAAAAATGTTTCTTTTTTCTAATGTTAATAAAAAAAATCTTATTTTTCCTATTAGAAGAGAGTCTATTTGTATCTGGGTAGCTGCGAAATTAAAGATTACCGCTAAAGTTTAAAACTTTCTTGCAGCATGTGGTATTTTGAAAAGGGGGAAGGTTTTGGGTTTTTTTTTATTTTTTATTTTTATATAATTTATTTTATCTGATTTTGGTTTTTGTTTGAATGGTTGATAGGGATCTTCTTTGCAATACTGGGAACAATCTTGTTCATTCCGGGTTTCTACTACACGCGGATTGCCTACTATGCTTACAAGGGATACAAGGGGTTCTCTTTCTCTAACATACCCCCTGTGTAGCTACTACCTACCGGTGTCTCAATACATAATTTAGGTTCCAATAGCATCCTCTTGTACAGATCTCCGCTTGTTGTGTTCTATGTTCTTTTTTTTTTGTCTGAAAAATGAAGAGTGTTTAGATTGTAATTTGTAATTACTTTATATGATATACTGCAACTTTCTATGGTTGAAAATTTTTAATGTAGTCTCAATTATCCTGCTGAGTTTTTTCCCCCTTTCGTTGGTGAATGGTGATAGACTGATTTTCTTATGATTATAAGACCGGAATGAATAATAAAAGCATGATTTGAGGACTTGTTTACTGTTTTCTTTTACTCACTTGATATTTGCCTCATCCTATTGCTCTATAGTTACTGCCACATCATCTGGTCTGGTTCATAGCATCACTTGCTTTTTTTCTTTTGCTCTACTTTTGTTTTTTTTAAATGGGGTCTTATGGTGCCATCTTCTGCCTTTTGATACAAGGGTAGAGAACCAGATCATGGGTGTGGCAATCTGTTACCATTTACCAATCTTTGCTTCATGCATATCATTGATAACTGATTGATTTTATTCCAATTCAAACAAGGTTGTGTTTGGCAACTAGTTGTAACGTTGGGAGAATATTTGATTTAATTACTTATGATTTAGAAGGTTATTGTCATCCAATTGAAGTTTGGACTTTGGACTACCTGTTTGAGGTTTTAAAAACCATCTGTGACATCAATCTCCCTGCATGTCAGTTATGTGTGCAAGGGAAAAATTGATGCTGAAAGAACTATCAAACTGATGGTTAAGGGCCCGGCCTGTTTGGTCTAGAACTTTGTAAAATTGATTTTAGATCATTATGAGTCTATTTGGATACAAGTTTATAAGCGATTTTATGAGTTCCTATACCGAAAAATACTCTTGATTTTCAGTAGAAAGCTCTCAAAAGTGTTTTTAGTTTGTATCCAAATAGGTTCTACATGTGATCGTGATGTGTGCCTAAATTAATTTGAATCACATATTTACATTGGAATGTGTTTTTCATTGGAAAATATGAAATTGATTCTTCAGGGTCTAAGTGTTTGTTTAGATAACTGTTCTGAACAAACTTTTAGGCGCTGAACATATTTTTTGAGAAAGATAATCTTTGCAACAATTATCCAAACATGCAACAAGACTTGTTATTCCCTGTAGAAAGTATATACACAATTGTGCTTCAGCTCAAGTAGTAGCCATATTAGTTTTTCATAGCTCGGGTGTATTATTAAGGAAATCAAAAGTCTTTGCAGGTAGAATTCATCATTAGGAACACCTTGGAGTGAAATGTGCCTAAGGAATTTTAGGAAATCTGTTAAATTTCATTATAGCTGTTGCCCTTGGGAAGGAATGTTAGGATTTTAGCATGACACTAGTGACTTATTCCTTTAAAAAGGGTGATGCAGGCAACACAATATCTGAATTGATACTTGCCGTAGTGGATGTATAATATTTAGGCAATTATGCTTTTATTTTGTGTGCTAGACAATTGACTAAATCGAAAGCATGGTAAACAATCTGATGGTAAGTTATTTCTTTGGGAACTGTTATGAACAATCTAAGGGGGAAGCTCAACATATATACTTTAATAATATTTTCTTATGAGTTATGACCTATGAATAAAGTTACTTTCACGTAACCTTTCTTCACATCTATTAATACTTATATTTTCCACCATATGGTTGCTTCTGTTGGAACCAGATGCATGCCTAAGCTTATATGTTATATGTTATTCCTCGTGCAAAGCGTGTAGTAATTTAATAAGAGGTGACGTGGGATTTGGATTACTCGGCCTCTTGTCGTTAACGTAGGTAATAATAATATTCATTTCATGTGTGGCAACATAATATATGTTGTTAACAATGGATTGCAGTTTTTGTCTGATGTGTGGTTGTGTTCGGTTAGTTGTTGTGATGGAGTGTTTGCTGTTCGTAATATATCAATTCTAACAGAAATTCAGCCTTTTCACAATATAAAATAGATGGCAGCTACGGTGGAGAATTGCTTCATATGGATTATGATGGATCAATAAATAATAACCATTAGATTTATTAATTAAATATTGAAAATATTTACTAATTAGTGAGACAAATTTTCCTACTCGAGTATTTTTTCATTCATAAGGCTTATGAATTGAAAATCATTTAGTTATATTAATCAACCAAAGAGATGGCAAGAGATTTTGGCAAAGGGAAAGAAAGAGATACAAATTTGGGTTTCTTAGAATTTTATCGCGTTGGAATGAAATTTCTCTCGGTTACTTTTATAGTTATAATAGAGGTGGCACAATTGGTTCTGTCTATAATGAGTTAAGCAAACCTTATAAGTTCCTATATAATAAGGATTACAAATATAGAAATTTTAGGAACACTAATATATTCTTTTAAACTCATTTTTTCTAATTGGTTGAAATAATTTTTTAAACTTATTTTTTTTAATTGGTTTAAATTTTTTTAAAAACTCAAATGAGTAGGTCTTATACTCAACGCTTATAAATTTTAATTGGTAAGAGAAAGTATATTAAGATAAGTGTGTTACAGAGATTATTGCAAACACTCCTCTACAAATATACATGATGGAAAGTATAATCAGTCAGATTCCAATTCAATTTCGACACACATGTATATTTTCAATATCACTATGAAAAGTATGCAATTGTTACATCCTGCTGGAGTGACTCTGTAAGTATCTCACCATTTGGAATCAATTAGTTTTCCCAAGCTTCTTGTTAGAAGTTGAGTGACCATTTTGAACTGCCCATTGATATATCAGACCAAAATGTTTCTAGTCCATACTCATTTTCATCTATCTTTAGACAAAATCACATCCATTTGCAAATGTTTTCCTTCTTTTATGCTTTAAGATCTTCCACATGGTAGAAGGATTATCATCTATAACGTTTTCCTTCTTTTCTTGATTCTTTTGTTTATTTTCAACAAAGCAAACAACGTGCAAATAAAAGTCTCCTAAGAGATTAATTATTACTAAAATAATTTCTAATTATTTAAAAAAATTAAAAAAAATGTTTTTAAATAATAAAGTTACACATTTGAAGACAAGTACTTCTTTCATTTAAGAAGATGAATAGAGCAATGACCTATATGTCTATATTGATCTTCGGTTTGACAAATAAAATCTTAAATCAAATTAGACATTGTTGAATTTTGATTAATCATTAAGTGGACAGTAGTATTTGATCTAAGAATCTCCAATATGTCATTGACTTCTTGTTTAATAGTCATGAAGTGTCATCTCTTATCTATTATATTTTATTAATAAAAAATATAAACTATAATTATAAGCAAACACAATTATATTAATTAGCTAATTTTTCTTCTAAATATTAAGTCAAGTATACATTAAAAAAAAATATAAACTTTTAACATGTCATCCACGAAACTTGATTTTCAACGTCACAAAATACAATCATAATTATATTAAAAAATAACTTATCATATAAATGGATTTTATAATTTTAAAATTTCTTTCAAAACATGATTCTAAATGCAAATTATTTAATAAAATCAATAAACCCTACTAAACAATCTAAAACAAACCCCAAGTGTGTGGTTTCACCGTAGGGGTTGATCCATGCTTAAGTAAGGTCAAGGATTCAAATCTTACTTTGTGTATACAGCTGCGTTAAATTTTGGGGCCAGCTATCCCACCCTTTGAGGTGCCTCCAACATAACGAGGAGATTAGTCACTGCTATCGGCTCCACGGACCAAAAAAAGAAAAAAACAATCTAAAACAAACCTAAGATGGATCCAACCCGACAGAGAAGCCCGTTTACAAGTTCACGTTTGTTTGTTTCTAGCTTCGGCGTACATTGTACGGTTCACAGTTGCTGTTGATGTCTATAATCAACGGTTAGGCTTCCTCGTATTCGCAGAACAAAACCATTGAAAAGTCTAACATCTTGTCCTTTTAGCATTTGCTCTAACTTAACTTCCTCACTCCAACCATGGCTGCATCATCTGCGAGACTCGCGGTAACAGCGTTGGTGTTGCTCGTGGCTTTCGCAACAATCTCTCTCCAAGCTTCAGCGTCAGCTTCATCCGTCGGTAAATTCGTCGACGAAACCATCACTTCCCACAAGATCGTCATTTTTTCCAAGACCTATTGCCCGTACGTATAAACACACATTCTCCCCTTTTGTTCTTTTTTGATGCGTTGATTTGATTCGGTTTTGTATGGTTCTGTTATGGATTATAGAATGCAAGTTGATGGGAGTTTCCAATTCGAAATATTTTCTTTTTGGGTGGTGGTGTTGGATCTGCTTTTGTGGGAATTATCTTGAGTCTAAACTTATGTTATAAGAGAATTGTGATTAGCATTGTTGCTTTTAGGCACTTTGGATGTTGGGATCTAATCTTGTTGTATTTGAATTGCTTGTGTTTTCGACAGGACTTTATTGTATTGACCTGATTTTTGGATCACATATAGTCTGTTTTGGTGATGATTATTGTGTGGTCACTTATAAGGTCTTGTAAAAAACTGAATGTGTGTTTGGTTCAACGTTTGATAATGTTGGATCTGCTTTTAGGCAAAAGCTACAAATAGTAGCTTTTGTGTTTTTGCACCCTATTGACATGAGAATACTACCAGAGGCACGTATTCAACTGTCAAAGAAACACTAAACAACTATGAGTCGACAACTTTAACATCGAAATTAAAATTGAATATAGTGTGGTGAGAAAGTGAGAAGCTCAAATGAAATTAAATATAAGTAACATGACAAAAAAATCTAAATTGATAATCAATATTTGTATTCTACTATTCTTGTATATTCATAAATACTAAGAAGCATTACTTTTGAATTTTTCTATTATATTTTAGTCTGACTTTTTTGAAAGCTTTAAAAAAATATATTATTATTATTATTATTATTATAAAACTATTGTTCTTGAAGTGTTCATTCATATGGAGGTGTTAACTCAAGTATCCAAACCAACAAAAAATAAATTTTTAATTGAACATCTAGTGTAGGGCGTTCAACACGTTCTCTATGGATTTTGGGGTGTACAATGATTTAACATGCACCTTAAGAAGGAAGAGTGTCTGTGCAGACTGTTCTTCATGGCTAAAAGGTCTTTTTTTCCCCACCCTCCTCTTATGTTCTTAGCTGAGCTCTTTACTATGTGTATATATTCATGCTTTGTGAATTATGGAGTGTTTTTTGACTTTGCGCAAAAAATTGTTACTGCACCACAGAAAAAGAAAAAGCCCATTAAGTGAAGTTTGGAGTATTCATTAACCTTTTTTTTCTTTCTGATTTCTTTCGGGTGTTAAGGTACTGTAAAAGAGCAAAAGCTGTTTTCGAAGAGTTGAACCAAGTTCCATATGTTGTTGAGCTTGATGAGAGAGGTATACTGAAACCTTCATCTTGTTTCTTGTCTTTTCACTATACATTAATGATTTTACTAGAGTTGGTTCTAGTTCTGTTAAAAAGAATCAAATGAAAGCTTCAGAATTGACATCATTAAAAATCAGGGATGGGTCAGCAACCCAATTCTTGGACTGAAAGCTTTGTGGGGTTAAAAATTAAAAAGTAAAGCAGTATGAGTTGTGACGAAGATAGTTTTCTTCTCTCAGGAACTGCATAGTGGTAGAAAACTGAAGAAAGAGTTTACATTGAAACTATATTTTGATAGAATGTTAATGCTGTGTAATTATGTTAAGGGTTCATTAGCTGATTGTTGTTACTGATATAGTAAGATTTCTTTCTCACAGAGGATGGTTCAAAGATTCAGGATATCATGACTAACATTGTTGGGAGGCGAACTGTGCCACAAGTTTTCATTAATGGAAAACACCTAGGAGGCTCAGATGGTAAGTCTTTGCAAGAAACAAAAGTACCCTTTTCCATTTTAACAACAAAATATGATTCTCCTAGAATTCCCCTCAAATACTTGTTTGTTTATTGTCTGATTTCCAGAAACTGTTGAAGCTTACGAGAGCGGAAAGCTGGCTAAACTTCTAGGAATTGAGACAGAGGATCATGATGATCTCTGAATCAGGTTGTTACTTAGGAGAAACCATGTTGTGAAGCTGCAATTGTATTCTGTTACTATGAAAAATCTTTACATATAAAGTCACGATGACATTACATTTTGGCACAGCTAAAGTTTTCATTTATTTATAAAGTGATGGATAGTTTTTCAAATATCACATAGGATGCTCCATCTTCCACATTTCAATTTATCAATAGTAGAATGATCAGCACATGCATGCTAGGTTGCACGTTATTAGAATTCACTAGACTCTTAGGTTCACATTAAAATCCTGGGGTCTCTGGCAAGAGTTTGAAAAGCGTGAACTGAAATATTTCATTACACTTGCCTTCCTCCCTCCCCATCTCTGCATATATCCCAGTGCTTTAGTTTCTGACTAGTTGTCCTTTTGCCATTTGTATGGCCAAAACTAAATTGTAATGAATAAAAATTGAGTTTATAAAAAAAAAAAAATACATTTCACTTAAGCTTTGTCTTTCTTCTACAAAATGTTGATCATCATGTGACGTAGTAAATTGGATGAAGACTAGAAGTTTCCAAACAAAATTTTTGTATCAAGATTCAAGAGTGTCTCTTAGCTTGTTTTCATTTTGAACGTAGGTCACTATCATCAAGCTCTCCACAATTCCTTCTTGTTGATTCCTGATGATTATACTCACAATATCATAATTCTCAAACTTTTTGTTGAAACTGATAAGGAATTGTATGTTAATAAATATTTTTTTGTCCTTAGAAAAGTTTTTGAAAATATTGTTTTTATTTTATTCCGCAATATAAATGATAATTAATATAGTTGAGATAGATGTGTCACACATTGTGTCACCACCACTGTCTTCTCCCTCTCCATCCTAGATTTGCAGCACCAAGCATGTGCTTTGTTGTCTGTCATAAAATATTAATCGTGAGTGATATAGGACAAAGTATGTAACTAAATTCACAATGTAACAACTTGGGTAACTCTTCGAAAGGACACACAATCATCAAATGAAATGGTAGCAAACTACTAATATAACAAAACTAATTTATTTTTTATAAAATAAAGTTCTCACGATGAATGGTAAAGTAACACGATATATACTTACAAGAGCAAAGAAATAATGAATTGCGAATGAAAAAGACCAAAGACGAAAGCAACCAATTGTTTACGTTTTTGTTTTGTGACAGAGCGAAAGCAAGTGGAGAAAGGTGAGTGGAACGATACCCTAAAATATAATTCTACTTTTATTGCGTGTTTTTTTATGAGAAGTTTTAGAAATTTATGTAATTTGAATTTTTTAGAATTTGAATTGTTTTTATTTTATTTTTCACCATTTTTTTTACCATAAAATGTTTTGTTTGGATAAGTTAATTTAAATTTTTGAATTTTAAATTTTTTGTTTGAATAAGACAATTTGCTTTTCATCACGAGTAAAATTGATTTTTAAATATATATTGAAATTTAAATATTAAATTTTATAAAATTAAATATTAGTCAATTTTTAAATATTTAATAATTTTAAATTTTAATATTAGATAATATTTATAATTAAAAAATAATTTGAATATTTAACTATTAAAAAAATTATTAATCATGTCATCTTTGAAAGAGATGAGAGGGAGATAAGAGAAAAAAAGAGAAAGTAGAATTTTAAATTTTTACTTTTTTGGCAAAATTTGAAATTATATATCTTTAACGAAATTCTCGTAAAAAAAGTAAAAAACTTGAAATTCAAATTTACAAATGTTTAAACTTTAAATTCTTTATAAATTTTCTATCTAAATAAGACATTTTACTCTAAAGTATTTGAAATTCTTCAAAAAATTTCATTACTCCATTAAAATCTCTTATCCAAATACACTCTATCATGCAATCATATTTAGAATGTCAATTATTGGTCGATCTAAAACTCTAGGATAATGAGGATAATTTTTAAATAATTAAAATTAATAAGCATCATATATATACTAAGAACAATATATAAATATTGAAAGCAATAATTAGTGGATTCAATATGTAAAATTAGAGGTGCAAAATACAACATTTTTAAATATACACTAATAATTCAATTAAAGTAAGAATGTATATTTTTCTAATCTCACTATAAAGTATATTTGTCATTGATGTTAATGAAAGATATATTTTGAAGTATAACATCAAACATGAGATATATTAATTTTTTATATTAAAGATTATTTTAATTAATTTTAGTTTTAATTATTTGTTTTTCATTGGGGGAACGCAACTATAATTTTAATATGAGGTAGAGGATATGAATGTTAGCTTTATTCAGTTATGGGGAGCTCTTGATTCTAACCCATTTGTCAATGGTGAGGACAAAGAAATAAAACAATAATTGATTATAATGTTTAGATTTTTCAAAAAAATTGGCCAAAAGGGCATAAAATACCCATGGATGAAAAATTCCATGATGTATGAGAAAGTCAAGGGAAGCATAGGTGTTTTTTTTGTTGTTGTGGTTGTCAAGGGTTAATTTTCCTTAAAAAATCACAACCATTTTGAAAAGTGTTTTTCTTTTAGTTGTCATACATCTATCTAGAGCGACTAACCTAGCTTATCCACGTTCTATTATAGCGACTTCAATTTTATTGAACAATAAAATTAAGTACTGTTCCAAAGGTTGATTATTCTTTTTTTTTTTTATAATCATTTTCTTCAACCAATGCTAAGTTGTTAACTCACTTAGTCAGATGTCTTTTATTTTCAAAAGCAATAACTCTAGAATGGTTATGGGGAACGGATTGGCTATGTCACTGACTCTAATTATAATGATTTAGTGTATGTTTGAAATGTGATTAATAATTCCAAAAGAATCCTATATGATAATTTTTCTTCATCTGATTCAAACTAATCAAAGATTTTTTTCGAATGTATCTATAGAAAAAATGTATATATTGTTCACACCTAAATTTAGATTCTACATACGAAAATAAATCTAACTTTCTTTTTATGAAGTTATAATTATTTATTGAAATATAAAAAAATTAAGTTTCTATTAAGTAAACATTCAATATCTTAGTAAATTTTTTAAGTTGATAATGTTTGCCGGGAGACCTCAAATTCATAAATAAATATTTTGTAGGAAGTTCATTAGAACTTACATTTTTCTCGATATATCCATATAGTAGATAAGAGCATCAACTGAAAACGTTCTAAAACTGCAAAAAAAAAAAAAAAATATTATATCATTAGTAATTATAATATAAATAATAGAAACTCTCATTAATATATTCTACCAATAGAGAATAGAGAAATATATAGAGTTGAATATGTTGTACATATATGATATTTTAAAAGAAAATAGTCTCACATTGCTTGAACTACTCAAATATAGACTGAGGTAAATTTTTTTGGTGATTGGGGAGAGCCACGACTCTCCCAAATCTTTCTAAAAAAAATTATATATATATTTATATATATTTAATATTATATTTGTATGATTATTTTATGAAATAATTAGTGAATGATAATAAATTTTTGAGATTTCATTATCATGTATGTTCAATTTGAATAAAAAAATGAGGAATATTTTTTTAATTAATAAAAAATTTAATTTATATATAAAAAGATTAATTTGGCACCTCCAAATTTTTTATCTAAGTTCCGCTACTAAGTGTAGAGCCTTTAAATATTAAAGTGCTCCTTACACTTCCAAAGAGACAAACAATAGGTGGTGGACTCCTGTACATAAGAATGGGTCTTGTGAGCCTGTTGTAGTTCAAATCTGTCAATTTACTCCCCTGCTCATGTGAAAATGAGATATATTTTTATTTTTCTTGATTAAGTTTTTTTTCTTAATTATTCGGATTAATTTTCCTTAATTGCCAGATACTTTACATGGTTTTTAGGGTTTCTAAGACTCTATAAATAGAGGCCTCTAGCACATTATTTTATTGCCCCGAATACCTTTCTCTCTTCCTCTTTCTGAGTTCTCAAATTTTCCAATTGTCAGTTTGCTCCTCAAATCCTTCAGACGACCCCGTTGTATTCAGGGAACTTGCGCGTATCTCGCAGATAAGTCCTTAAGGTCAGTGTCATCACACGTCTCAGGAAAATTTTACTCACGTTTGTTCAATGTTTCAAGTTGCTTATAATTACGTCCACCATATTTTAATCAACAAAATATACTTAAATAAGAAATCGATTCATCTTCTCTTTTTATGTCCAAATGGACAAAATGAAGAGAAACTACTCCTAGTTGCTTTTTGGAGACATGGATCAATGCAGACTCAAAATATAGTGTCAACCAATACAGTTCTTTGACACAATACAGTTCCTTATTTTTAATTTTAGTCTCCATACTAGAAATTTGTAAGTTTTGATCCCTAATATGCATAAAAATTGAGTTTTTGGCAAACATTATTAATGACTCTCTTTGTTTAAATTTAAAAATAAGTATTTTTAAATAAGTGTTTTTAAAGAAGTAATTTTTTAAAAATTAGGTAAGAGTTGCTTTCTAAAAAAAAAAAAAAACTGCTGATTCTAAAAAAGAAATTAAACAAACAAATAAAAAAAAATAAAGAAGTGTTTATTTTTTTTAAATAGAAACTTTTATAAGAAATTTTTTTTAACAATAAGACCGAATATCATATAACCGTTTTATGTTGTTTAAAATCACTAAAAAAATTCTAGCAATGATAAACTGCCACAAAATCTATTTAGGAACCTGAACTAACAAAAAAAAATGTACAGAAACTAAAACTAAAAATGAGAACAATTATAGAACTAAATAAACAATTTAACGTATTTTTATGAGTAAAGAACATGTCACGAAGGGGTTGGCACCTTTAATCCTATCATGCAAGGTGCCAATCAAAGATTTAACTTACAAAATTTCCATACAAACTTAAATCACAAATAATTTTATTCAATCATTTACTAACTAATTAATTTCTCGACGTTAAGCAATTTCCCGAGGGAGAAAATATCCACTAAACGAGATTTAATTTACATAACTTTAATAGGAGTCAAACTTGCACACAGAGAAAAGGGAGATTTTTCTTTTCAATCCTTGACTATTTTATGTTAATCCGTATTGACTCGTTTTTTTTATATTTTTTTTTAATAATTTATATGACAGTCTATGAAGGATGATTTATAAAGATAAAATATGTGTCAATATATATCATTAATTTATTATCATTTTCATATTGGTTATT